ACAGAATACAACTCAGCTATTAGAAACAAGGGCATTATGAACTTTGCAGGCAAATGGATGGAACTAGAAAATATCATCCTGAGTGAGGTAACTCAGACACAAAAGGACATGCATGCTATGTACTGATAAGTGAATATTAGCCAAAAAGTACAGAATGCACATGATACATTCCACAGACTAAGTTAAGCAAGGTTCAAGTGAGGATGCTTAAACCTCACTTAGAAAGGAGAAAAAAATAATCATGGGAGGTTATCAGGAGGGAAGGCCCTGGGTTGGAGAGGGGAAGAGGAAAAGGTGACAGGAACAGGTATGGGAGGAGACAGTAGAGAGGCCCAAGAGGGCCAGAATGAATGGAATGTGCAGCTGCTGGGAGTAGGAGGTACCTCTAGAAAGTCCCAGAGATCTAGGATGGGGGGCCCCAGATGGCAACTGTGAAAATTAAGTGAACAGAGGATATAGCTCAGTGGTAGAGTGCATACTTAGTATGTGCAAGGTCCTAGGTTCAAGCCCTACTACCTCTATTGAGAAAAAAAAAGGGCCAGTGAAATGGATCAACAGCAAACATCCTGATATCAAGCCTAGAGACCCACATTTGATCCCAGGAACGTGGCTGAAGGAGAGAAATGGCCCCAATTATCTTCTGACTTCCACATGCACATGTCCACACCAAACAAAAACTTTAAAATGTAAAAAAGATAACAGCCAAGTCTTACTGTTATATTTTTGAATTTATTCTCTATTATTTATAAAGACATTGTTAAGATTATCACATTCTACCTACATATCTGTATGTACTCATGTGAATGTAGGCTCGTGTCCTAAGGTAAGTGGAAAACCCCAGGCTTTATCCTTTTTCCCTTGCTTGGTTAACTGGTCTTCTTACCATTTAGTTGTGAATACTAGGCTGCTTAGTCCAATGTCTTCAGGGATTTCTGTCTACATCTACCAATATCATCATAGGCACAGGAATTTTAAATACACACTGCCATGCCTGACTAACATTTATCCTGAAGATGCAAACTCAGGTCCTCACATTTACACAAGTACTTTACTCACCGAACAATTTCCTCAGTACTTGTCTGTTTTAGAGGAACAAATATTACCAAGGAATGGTGGCATGTGCCTGTAATCCTAGCACTTAAAGGATCAGAAATTCAAAAGATGAACATACCTGTTTTATACAGGATAAGAGTAGTTACTCCATCAATTACTTTGATCTTTTTCAAATTAACTATTAGCTTCTACAAAGTAAATCCATCCTGTTTACTACAAAAACGCTGTCTCTTAAGATTATCATCCTACATATGGTGGGCATGGAGAGATGGCTCAGCAGTTAAGAACACTGACTGCTCTTCTAGAGGTCCCGAGTTCAATTCTCAAAAATGACATGGTGGCTCAAAATCATCTGTACTATGATCTGAGACCTTCTGGTATGTCTGAAAACAGCTACAATGTACTCAGATAAATATAATAAATCTTAAGATTATGATCCCACAAATGTTTTTTTCTCACCAAAACATCACATTGTTAGTTTTTTTCAAAATAACATCTAATATTTGATTCTTATTATCATTTTTTCAATGTTTTTGGTTTTGTGGTTTTGTTCTGGTTTTTGGAGACAGGGTTTCTCCGAGTAGCCCTGGCTGTGTTGGAACTTGCTATGAAGACCAGGATGGCCTTGAACTCAGAGGTACACCTGCTTCTGGCTCCCAAAGACTAGAATTAAAGGCACGAGCCACCACTGCCCAGCTTTTGTTTTTTTTTTTTGAAATTTTAGGACAAAACCGTGAAGGCTATGTCTTCAAAGTTAGGACTCACTACATATTCAAAGTTAGGGAAACCACAAACATTTACTAAAATTAGAATCTAGACCCAACTGTAACGTTTATGCCACAAAATTCCTTATAATATTGTTTATAGTAAATATAGTGGTTTATATTGTTCTACAAATACATGTCATCAATGTATTTTGATTTAATCATATTTCATGAACTGGATTTAGGGGTATTTTAAAGTGTTGAGAGTTTATTTTTGTAATCCAACAACTTTATCCAAAAATGCAGAAAATTTTTCTGGCTGGCCAGGAGGATAACATTTCAGTGTTGATAAATCCATTGACTGTAACAGTCCAGGAAGCATGCTAAAACAAAAAAGAAAAATATCAGGTAACATGAGTGAAAATTCTGGAACTTATCTGCTGCCTGTTACCCATTTGATGAATGAACAGTTGTGCTGCCAACATAAAGAATACTATAAAATATCAGAAGAATTGAATAGACATTCTTATCTGAGTCAATTGAAGTGTTTCAGAAATGTCATTTCAAGGAAAATGTGTTTATACTGTTTTGTAATACTCTCCAGGACCACACAAGTATAAAGTAAAATTTTCTAAAACAATAAATGAAACCAAAAGTAAGCAAGCTAGGATGACTATACTACATTCATTCATGCAGACTTTAAGAAACTTTTTATTTAAACTTATTTAATGTACATTGGTACTCAACCTACACATATGTCTGTGTGAGTGTATCAAATCCCACAGAACTGGAATCACAATTATAAGCTGCCATGTAGGTGCTGGGACTTGAACCAAGGTCCTTTGGAAGAATAGCCATTACTCTTAACCACTGAGCCATCTCTCTAACCCATGAGAAAATTTTACTGAAAACTATCTTGAATTGTTAACTAATAAATCAGTATTTGGTCACCATGCATGTTAGAAATAAGGCTCTAAACAACAGCATACAACTATTACTTCAGAAACTATTAAATAAGTCAGCTAAATTACAACAGGCATACCACCCTCCAACTAAGGTTTGGGGAAAACAAATGATTTAACTACAACAGAAATATAATAAATGCTTCTTGGATACTGACATTTGAGTAATTTTTCTAGAATAAAGATTCCGAAACTGTTAAAACAGAAAAAGGAGGGACAAAAAATTGCTCAAAGGATAAAGATGATTGCCACCAAGCCCAGAGATTATGAAATCAATCCCCAGAACCCACATGGTGGAAGGATAGAAGTTGTCCTCTGCCCTTCAAGTGCACACCTCAAGTACACATACATACATGATTGTTTTCAAAAAGAAGACATACAGGTTTTTTCATCCAGCAGAAAAAATTAGCATGTCTTCACAAGAATAAATGTTTTCTCTTTTATAATATACTAAGAACAACAAAAACATCAGAGCTAAGTAGCTGGGCATAGTGGCCCGTACCTACCTATCTATAATCTCAAAAAATCTGAGATTGAAGCATAAGAGTCAGGAATTCAAAGTTAGCCTGAGGTAGTCTCCCTCTGGCACCCCCCAAAAAGAAAAGCTGACACATTTTGAATGACAATATTTTTCAATAAGTCCTCAAAATACTAACTTGCTGAAGTTGTTAGGAAGATGCGTCCCTGCTTTAAAGTGGTGTTTATCAACTTTTTTCAAAGATTTATTTTATTTATATGAGTACACTGTAGTTGTCTTCAGCTACACCAGAGGAGGGCATCGGATCCCATTACAGATGGTTGTAAGCCCTCATGTGGTTGCTGGGAACTGAACTCAGGACCTCTGGAAGAGCAGTCAGTGCTCTTAACCTCTGAGCCATCTCTCTAGTCCTGTTATCAGCTTTTAATGATATCAACTACCTAAGGACAGAAACACTAATTATCTAAAGCATCCTAGCTTTTCTTCTGACTCACTGTACCAAGACTACAGTTCCTTTCCTCAATCATTATAGAAATGAGCAAACCATTAATTGTATCACTGGAATAGACACTGACTGAATCTGTCTTCTCCCAATAGGAACATCTTGGCATATAACAAGTGCTCTGCATTTAATGAATGCACCAGTATATAGCAAATTCCTGAAAGAAATAGGAAAAAAATCCAAAGAAACACTTATTTATCGTATTCTAGATACAGGTATAGAAATAAAAGTAATTTCTCTATAAGGTCATTTACTTTTTTAAAATGCCAAATTAGAAAAGTTTTTAAAGTCAAGCAACTGGCAATTACTGACCTGGCCCTTTTGGCAAACTTCTAGTGTCCCAAAGACGACCTAACAGAAAAACAGCTTTTTTTCTTTAAGCTTCTATTGCGAGGCTGATGAGTTCCTATCAAATCTAATCCACTTCATAAAGCAATATTCCTTACAAGATCCCTTTGCTTAAAGAGCTTCAGTGGTTTTTCATTGAACATAAAATAATATTAGAACTCTTCCATGAGCTATGCCCTCCCAGCTTCATACTTACTGTTGGCAACAATGTTCCTATCATATGAACCTTCCCTATTCTTTAAGCATTCCAAACTCCAAGGTTATTTCTAAGATTTTTATAAACTCTCATCTTCATAACTGGTTCTTCCTTCTAAATTAGGACTCACTGCAAACATAAGGATGACAGGTTCTCCTGAGGTCTACTTAATTCTTCCTTATCCCAGCTATGACATCACTCTGTCTTTTTATTTGTACTGAAGTTCACCATGTGAAATTCTACCACCAAAATATAAATGCAATGCTTGCCACTGAACCCTGAGCACCTAACAGCATCTACCCACTTTATATTAGAAGAGAATATGTGAATGAATAATTAATTTAGGGCTTCCAATAAACTTACTAAAAAAGTCGAACGTTAATTGACAACTAAAATTCATTATATACATATATGAAACTGTCCAAATAACTTAATTATCCCTAAACTAATATAAGTATGCACATTCTTTAAACACTGAAAACCTGAGTAGTGAACTACAAAACTAAGATTCTTGGAAACCTGGACACTCATATGGACATTCACACATTCAAATTTACATACAAAGAGTTGGCCAAGAACAGAGGAAAAGACAGGGCAAAGAACACAGTCAAAGCAACAGATAAATGAAAAGTTTTGGTTGAGAAAAATCAAAGTATAATTCATGAGTATGAAAAAGGTAAAAAAAAAAAATCAATAACAGCAGAGAGAGGAAGGAGGAATTTAAGGCAAGAAAACAATACATCAGCCTCTAGTATACCTGCAAGTACAATAGAAGAGATGGCCTTCTTTGTGCAACTGCTTTGCCAGTTCAAATTGATGATTGTTCATTAACTTTTCATTTACAACTACCACAAGTGGTTTGCCTTTTTCCAGACTCTCCAAACAGCTTCCTGCACCTGCAAAAATAAAAGCTATTGATTGTTTGTTTAAAGTTATGATACTATGTCATTATAGTTTTTATTGTAAACTTGAATAATTTAGTCCACAAGACTGTATAAACCAAATGACAAGTGTAGGTCAGGTTTAATGGCACATGCCCCAAATCCTAGCATATGGGACATTGAAACAGGAGGATCATGGGTTTAGGAGACTTAAAACAATATACAGAAAAGATGCAAAGCAGGGCTAATGGCATACACATAAACATACTATGATGCTATACATTTTAGTAATGTCTATTTCTTTGGTTTTTATTTGCTTGCTTGAGACATGGTCTTTCTGTGTGTGTAGCCCTCGCTGACTGTCCTAGAAATCTTTGTAGACCAGGCTGGCCTAAAAGACCCATCTGTCTCTGCCTCCCAAGTGCCGAGATTAGAGGTGTGTACCACCACCACCCAGGAGTAATGTATATTTCTAAAGAGGTTTTTTTTTTTAAGATTTATTGATTTATTTTATATATGTGAGTACACTGTCATTGTCTTCAGACACACTGGAGAAGAGGGCATAGGATCCCATTACAGATGGTTGTGAGCCACCATGTGGTTGCTGGGAATTGAACTTGGGATGTCTGGGAAAGTAGTCAGTGCTCTTAACCGCTGAGCCATACCTCCAAGCCCCTAAGGAGTTTTCTTTCCTAAAATTAGTCTTTTGAAAAAACCGATCATGTTCACCACAAACACCCATAACAATCAAAACTACACTTATTCCCCACAAAATAATTTTTCTAAATACTAGGAATCTCAGGAACTCCATCAGGTTGATTCTCTGAAAGCAACAAATTACTAAAACTATAAGCATAAAATATATATTTAAAACATAAGATATTTTATAAGTCTATGCTTATGTCTCTGAATGCAAAATTTTTAAGTATAAAATTTTAATTTTATTACCACAGGCTACATAATAAAGAAAATGCACTGTATTTATTTTACATACATTCAACAGAAACTTAAAAAAGACTATCTCTTCTTTTAAGACTTATGTATTTATTTTATATGTGACTACACTGTCGCTGTCTTCGGACACTCCAGAAGAGGGCACTGGATCCCATTACAGATGGTTGTGGTCCACCATGTGGGTTCTGGGAATTGAAGTCAGGTCCTCTGGAAGAGCAGTCACTGCTCTTAACTGCTGAGCCATCTCTCCAGTCCATAAAGATAATCTTTAAATGGCAATTTCTACAACTACAATCCTACCACTGAAAAGGTTTAATGTCCTTCAAATATAAGCCCAAATACTTAGCTCAGATTTACAATGTTATGATTATTGCATATATTATCCTTCCCCTCTGTGTTTACAGTTTCCTACTATAAAACCGGGCTAAAATAACTTCATAGCCTTCTCTTACCAAAAATATCCTGTTCTCCACTAAAGTTCTCAATGGATATATTCCAGTAAGTGGAACAATTCTAGTAAAATAGGAACTGTGATGAATTTATTCTGTGTAATTAACTTACAGATTTTTGAGACAGGGTCTTAGGTAGCCCAGGCTGGCCTTCCCCTCTCAGGTGCTGTAATTACAGGTGTAAACCATGGAGCTGGACTCTCTTTATTGTGATTGTAAGGATTGCAGCTAGGGCTTTTCACATGCTAGGCATGTACCTTACCACTGAATTACATATCTAGCCCTCTGGAATTCATTCCGAAAAAGTATCTGCTGCTTTTTATAAAACACAGAGTCCCAAGATTTTCAGATACTTTACCTGCGTGGCTAATGACAAGATCAGCTTGCTGAAGGTCTTCTTTCAAAGACTCCTTATACCTGTAAACATCCAGAGTGAATGACTCAGTACTGAATGGTTCAGGCACCACAGTGCCTCTACCAATCTGGAGGACAAGGTGGTTGTAACCCAGACTCTTGAGGACCTAAAACAGGAAAATAAGAAAACACGGCGCTTTTTAATTAATTCTTTTGAGAACCCCAGTCAAGCAACCCCCAGATCGAAGCTCAAAAGCAGCAGCCAGCCATGTGAAAGCCATCTGTGGTCTACCAGTTAGTTTTCCAAATTAACCCTTTTTCCCCCATCCGGGCACCGCCAAGGAACGTCACTCACTACCCACCAGCTGGTGGAGCACAGAACAAACAAACTTACCTTGAATGAGAAGGAGCTGAGAACTAGGCGGGAACCAAGGGAAGAGCTTGTTTAGGTCCCACCAGTTGAGCTGAGACACTATAAAGCAGTAGAGGGTCACCACGGGAGCCACCCGGAGGCAAAGACCCTCTTTACCTGCTCAAGCAGTTGATATCAACGCCTCTGGGCAACCTGTTATCAGCTGGGAGTGGTCTCGAGCCAAGGTTCAGCAGGATAACCAGCTACCAGCAGAGGAAGGGGAGGGGACGAGGTTTTTTTTTTTTTTTAGGGAGGGGGAGCCCCCCCCCCGCGCGCGGAAGAGGGCGGGGAGGGGACGAGGGAGGGGAGGGGAAAGGGGGGCGTCTCGAGCCCAGGGGTCTCCGGGAGAGGGGTCGCGAGCCGAGGAGACGCGGGGCAACCTGTAGCCAGCGCACAGGGAGGGAAGTCTCGAGACTAAGTGTCACGGGGCAACCTGTTACCGGCGCGAAGGGAGGGGGTCGCGAGCCGAGGTGTCACGGGGCAACCTGTTACCGGCGCGAGGGGAGGGGGTCGCGAGCCGAGGTGTCCCGGGGCAACCTGTTACCAGGGTGCAGGGAGGGGGTCGCGAGCCGAGGTGTCACGGGGCAACCTGTTACTAGGATGCAGGGAGGGGGTCGCGAGCCAAGACGCCACTAGGCAACACTGTTACTGGCTTGGGAGGCGTGGGTGGGGGGGATATTGAGGGCCGAAGCTCTAAGGAGCAACCATCACCCGCAAGAGGATGGGAGGCGTGGACAGAGGTGCTGCAGGGAAAACCAATACCAGCAATGAGGGGGTTGAGGGTCGCCCACACACAGACACGGCCCGTGTCCGGCCTGAGGGGGTGGGGCCACGCGGACAGAGGCACCGCCGGGAGAAAAAAAAAACGGTGGCCAGCTTGGAGGAAATGGGGGGTCGCGGGGCAAGGCGTTGCTGGGGTGGGGAAGGAGCTTTAGAGCTTAAAGGGATTGGAGTCAGCGGACCTCGGCGACTCAGAGCAACCTGTTCCCAGTTGGCGGGGCTAGGGTTGGGAGGAGTCGCCGACGAAAGCGCCCCCAAAACCTCTTGCTAGCCTGAGGTCCAAGACTGGGACGCCAAGGGGGGACCCATCAGGGCCTCGGGGAGGGACCGAGCCACGGACGCAAGACACGGGGGTAGTAGAGGCTGGGGAGGAGGGCATGAGAGGCGCAGGGGGTGAGAGGAGATTGAGGAGGGGCGGTTGTGCAGAGAGGCTGTGGGGAGATGGGAGTCGCAGGGAGAGACCGCGGAGGGAAGGCATGACAGTCGTGGGGGAAGGCTGTGGGAGGTCGCTGGGAGAAGCTGAAGAGGGAAGGAGAAGAAACCGTGGGATGGGGGACTGCCGGAGCCGTGGGCTAGGGCTCCGCGGTCCCGGAGCCACAGCTACCAAGCCTCCTTTCAGCCCACGGACGCCCGGGGGAGGTTAGCAGAGCTTAAGCAGCAAGCACAAACAGCCAGAGCCGCCGGCAGCCCGCCGCCCAGCCTGACTCACCTGAACGCAGTCGTTGGTGACCACTCGAGCGACGAGCTCGTCGAAACTGGTGGTCCCGACGGTCACAAACGCTCGCTTCATCGCGCGGGTTCCAGATTCGGAATTGCTGGAACGGATGTGACGTAGGCGGTCCACGCCAAGACCTAAGGGGAAACGGAAAGGGGAGGAAAGCGGAAGTCCATCGGGGCACGCCGGAGTGTGCACGCGGCGGGGAGGGGCGGAAAGCTCGACTCGCCGGGTCGGTCCCTCCTTCCCACGGGCTGGTCCGAAGCTCTTCAGGCGTAGAGCCTGCGGGTTGGCGGAGTCCCAACGTGCTTGTCCACGCCTTACACTTTTGCAGGTAGCACAGGTGTTAGCTATCAAAACGTATGGAAGTTTGCCAGGTGTAGTTTTGTGTCTACCGAGAAAACGGAGACACCCCGAACCAACTGCTCTAAGTTGTCTTCCAGCCCGTGACATGCTTTGTTCAACATAGCACATGCACCACCTCTGTATAGAAACAAAAAAATAAATAAAGGTAATGCACGTGTTTTAAATTACTCCTGATCCGCTCCGCACAGTTGTCCACACCTGTAATCAAGTTATCCCAAATATGGTGAGAGCCCAGGCCTGGTAACCAGACCAACTAAGCTAAGCCACAAGTATTCAATAAGTCAATTACAGAGCTAAGTAGACTGGGACCAAACGCTGCTGAGGAATCTGGTGGCAGGGCAATATGACTGCACACCCCCAGTGATGACCAGCTCCACTTTCTTGAGGGTTGTCTACAAGGGCAAGAGGAGCAGCAGTCCCTGCTCTCCCACCAACAGCAGTGAGTGCTTCATGCTGCTCACCCTAGAGGAGAAGGTGATGTCATTTACTAAGCCTGCCAGGGTATGGAGTGAGAGCTCTGCAGGCAAGTCAGCCAAGCATAAGAGTCGGGAGGAAAGGGTCTCCAACCCCAGCCTAAAAACCTTCAAGCCCATTGGCGTCACGCAGCTGAAGCTGTGAAACAGGTCAAATGTTTCACGTGGTGAAGCCCATGAATGCCTGGTGTCCCCTCCCTGCCCCCCACTCCGATCTACAAACACTTTTGGTTTCTTCCTGAGGCTTTACTCCAGGGATACAGGGAGTGGGCGGGTCTGCTCTATCCAGCAGTAAATCCCAAAGCCAGCAGAACTGATGTCCAGAAGCCTCCTTTTCCTCTTCCAGAATCCCAAACTGTAGCCCAACCCCTGGGCTGGAGAAGTTTAGGGAAGTGGGTGGAGTATGCCAGCCTGGAGGGGCTTGTAAGGGATAGGGACAGGGGGATGCTGGGAGAACCTGTTTATCCAGGTCCACTTTGATATGTTAAGCAGGCACTTCAGTCTTTGTCCCCTGGTTTAAGACTTAATAATAGAGGCCAGACTAGTCTATATGACCATGTCTCAGAAAGAAAAACTTACTATTTTCATGTGTTGGAGACACGACTATGTCACTTAGTAAAAAGTAATCCATTCAGAAATACTCATTAAGCATTTACTCTGTATGTGTCCCTCATACTAGCTGTATGAGTTCCAAATTGTGATAAAGTACAAGATGGAGCACTGCCAGGCACAAGAGAATAACAGATGGTCTGGAGGGGAACCTACTTAACATGTAAGAGGAGCCGTCACTACAATCTGAGTTTTTAGATTAAGGAAGTAGCAGAAGGTACAGCTGCAAAAGGTTCCATGTGGAACTTGTGAATCTTTTATCCTAAAGACTGCCAGCAAGGCAAAGCCTTTTTGAAGATTTATTTATTTATTTTATTATGAGTACACTGTAGCTGTCTTCGGACACACCAGAAGAGGGCATCCAATCTCACTATGGATGGCTGTGAGCCACCATGTGGTTGCTGGGATTTGAACTCGGGACCTCTGGAAGAGCAGTCAGTGCTCTTAACCGCTGAGCCATCTCTCCAGCCCGGCAAAGCCTTTTTGATAAGAGATCTGGTAGTCTTAACTAGCCAATGAATTGAAGAATGAGCTAATATGGTGGTGGATGACCTTGGGGTCTGTTTTCTAGCTGTCAAGCTGCAATTAGCTTAGCTGTCAATGTAATCAGAGATCTGGGAACAATAAATTATAATCTAGGTGTCATATTAATTAAAATGACAGAGGTTAGTCTATAGCCTACCACATAAACAGTTCTCCCAAGTCCCTATGGACTCCATCGCAACTCGGGCAGAGGTAGTCTGACATCAGGCCCAGAAGATGAGAGGATTTTTTTTTCCTGTGGAGGAGGAACTTGGGAGGAATAACTCACCTGTCTTAGACAACATTGTTAGCATTTCTTATGCCTGACTCAGTATAAAAGGGGCTGTTTGCCCCCTCCTCACTCTCTTACTCTCTTGCTCTCTTCTCCTCTTCCCACTCTGTCCCTTCTCTCCCCATTCCCCTCCCACCTCTCTCCACATGTTTATGACTGGCCTCTCCTCTCTCCCTCTCTCTGTCGCTCTGTCTCTCTCTCTGTCTCTCTCTGCCTTTCTCTATCTGTACTCCCTCAACTCCCCTCCCCTCCCCTAAATAAACTCTATTCTATACTATATAGTCATGTGGCTGGCACCTCAGGGGGAAGAGATGCCTCAGCATGGGCCCACAGAGGCACCCCCTCCACCACACCATACTGTGTCTCCACCAAACATATCCCTGGCTTCTTTTTCTTTTTATAAAACACAACAAATATGAGACATTTAATTCTCCCAGTATCCTCTGCTTGTCCACAGTTTAAGCGGAGACCTGACAGTAGGCAAGGCAATAGAGCAGTCTTCTTCAGTGGTTACAGTACCACACAATCCAGGTAGAGTCCTTTATCACTGTACCCATATCTTCTTGGAGAACTTGCGGTGGGGGTGAGGGTGGGGGAGTCTTAGTTATTTGCTCTAAATTGCACCAAGCAGACATGAAGGTTGCATAACTTAATGACTGTAGCAAAAACAAAGCTAAACTATCTTTAACTTTTTTTTTCCTTTTGGTTTTTCGAGACAGGGTTTCTCTGTGTAGCCCTGGCTGTCCTGGAACTCACTCTGTAGACCAGGCTGGCCTCGAACTCAGAAATCCTCCTGCCTCTGCCTCCCAAGCGCTGGGATTAAAGGCCACCACCACCCGATTCTTTCTTAATGGCCTTTTGTTTGTTTTTTTTTTCTTTTTTTTTTTTTTTTGGTTTTTTCGAGACAGGGTTTCTCTGTGTAGCCCTGTCTGTCCTGGAACTCACTCTGTAGAGCAGGCTAGCCTCGAACTCTCAAACTCAGAAATCCGCCTGCCTCTGCCTCCCAAGTGCTGAGATTAAAGGCGTGTGCCACCACCGCCCGGCAATCTTTAACTTTTTAGTGTTGTAAACCTTTAAAGTAATATTGAAATGTAAGGTCAAAAAAGTTATTTTGCACGCAATTACCATGACTATATTTGTTGAATGTTTATTATGTGGTAGTAGTACCTATGATAAGTACTTTTTCATGAGGTTTTTTTCTTGGTTTTTCAAGACAGGGTTTCTCTGTGTAGCCCTGTCTGTCCTGGAACTCACTCTGTAGAGCAGGCTAGCCTCGAACTCTCAAACTCAGAAATCCGCCTGCCTCTGCCTCCCAAGTGCTGGGATTGAAGGCGTGCGCCACCACCGCCCAGCTCATGAGTTATTTAATGACAAATGGTTAGAATAATTTGACAAATGAAAACACTGGTCTAGATTTATTTGTAGTCATAGCATAATTTTGAACAGTATGCCTACTTTATAGTGTTCTTTCACTATTATATTAATATAATCATTAATATATTAATATAATTAACATATTAATATTAAAAATCATCCTACATACTTGAATTTGAAGGTCAGCAATTTGGAAGTTCAATTAGGAGCTTTGATTTAATACTTGTGATAAATTTGGAAAGTACAGAGCCATCCACCATGAAGATATGGCCTTTACCTGGCTGAAAACTCCCAAGTTCTTTGAAGTTTCAGTGTATATCCGAAGCACACAAGAACTCTGTGTGTTTAGCTTTTTGTCAGTTTGACACAAGCAAGGGTTATCTGCAAAGAAGAAACCTTAATTGACGCCATGATTCCACATAAGTTTGGCCTACAGGCAAGTCTGTGACAACATCCTGGATTAATGATTAATGTGGAAGGCCTAGGCCACTGTGGGTGGTACCATCCCTGAGCTGGTGGTCCTGACTTGTACACAAAAGCAAGCTGAGGAAGCTGTGAGTGGCAAGCCAATAAACAGTGCTCTTCCATGGTTTTCTCTTTTAGTTCCTGCCTCCAGTCTCCTGCCTTGGCTTCTGTAAACCAGCCCTATGATCTGGAAGTGAAAGCTAAATAAAGTTTTCTGCCTTAAGTTGTTTTTGATTAGTGTTTAACACAGCCACAGAGGTATTAGACTACGGTCCCACTTAGATTAGAGGAAAAGTCCCAAGGCAATGAATGTCCTTAAAACAAATGCATAAGCAAATTTCCCACAGGGGAAGTGACGGTAAATCTTTGGATTATATGTCCATCACATAAGGGAGGAATGTGTGTGTGTGTGCGTGTGTGTGTATGTGTGTATGTGTGTGTCTGTGTGTCTGTGTGTGTGTGTGTCTATGTGTGTATGTGTGTGTGCGAGAGTGAATACATGTATGTTACAATGAAGAAATTCTATGCTAGAGGTACAGAATTAAGTTAGTATCCTAAACCTGCCGGCACTTTGAGTTCCTTCAGGACAGACCACCCCTAAAATGAGAACACTTATGTATGATGGAGATGCTACCCCTAGAAACATGATCTGGTAGGAATCCAGTTGAACCCCTTGGGTGATCATAATGATTAACACTTTATTGACCTTGCTATTACCACCTGATCTGAGGCAATATTAAGTATAACCATACTTTGGTCAAGACTACCTAAATTTTTCTGTTACATTTCTTCATTTATGTGTATGTGTGTGGGAAGGGGTGAGAATGTGTGCCTGTGTCTTAACCAATGTGGGGACATAAGAAGACAATTTGTAAGTTGGTTCTCTCCTTCCACTAAGTGGTTTCCTAGGATCAAACTCAGGTTATCAGAACCTGCAGAAGTTGAGCCATCCTGTAGGTCCTGAATTTTTAAAAAATATTTTGGTGGTGTGGGGGCG